CCGAATCAATGTGAATAATATAAAACTATAAATTTATGTTCACACAATTAGTCAAATAGCGAAATGTGAGCAACATACCAATGTAAATAAATTTTCAAAGAAAACTGCATCTACATACGTCCGCCATCTTGCATGTTTGACAACCAACTAAATGATGTGCAGCGTCTTCACCGAAATCAGTGAAACACAGCGTGTGTATGGAACGCCGCATCGAGTACGCTAGTACATACATAGATACCGTTGGGAAATAGTGATATAATTAAGAGCGGTGGTAGTAAAATGGGAAAATGTTGCATTTGAATTTGGTAGCTCATGTATATGCCGCACGCACACATCTGCGCGGACGAGATCGTTATTCAATCGCACGTTTATTTTTTTTTACTCCTGTACTTTAATCATTCGCTCTGGACCTTTTGGAGGGAGAAGTGTCGTTTTTATTTTGACTTTAAATTATTTATGAAATCTAGTTTAAAGTGAAATAGGATAGTACTATTGTGCCTTAATCGAAGATTAAAACGCGAAATTATACGAATCTCGAATTAAAATACCCGTATCAGCCCGTTTTAAGGAATCCCGAGTCAATCCAAGCTCGCCGCCTCAAATTGCCTATTCTCTTTGTGGCGGCCATATTTACAGAAATATTATTAAACTTCATGTTTAGGCTGATGGCTTTGCCAAAGCCTTAATAAATTTAAAAAAAATGTACTTTAATCTGTCAATTATAATTTCATAAATCATATCACAAAGGCCTCTTTTTAGTTCTGAATATTCTATTTTATTAGATATCTATTTTTTTATTATTATTCTATTTTATTTATGAATAGATTCTATTTGTCCATGGGTCTCGATATTGAACAGAAAAAAATTACTGAATTTAACGGAACTTGTATGCGAAATTTAATTTGAATTTTTTTTTCGGTGAAGGAATATATTGTGAAACCTGCTCGTCGAAGAAGGTTCACAACCCTCGGAAAACGTGTGAAGTCCCCAATCCGCATTGGGCCAGCGTGACGGACTATGACCACCCTCGCCTGAGAGAAGACCTTGCCCAGCAGTGGGTCGCATGAACTGGTTGATAATGACAATTGAGATAAGGTATAAATTTCAATGCTCTGAAGCGCACGCCACATCGCGAACGAAGCTAAACTAACTTACTTTAGTAGCAGTAGATCTCCTTGTGGAAGAGTTCGTCCAGTGAAGTACTACCATCTTACCTATTTCTGCCGCCAAGCAGTTATTGCGTTCCGGTTTCGAAGGGTAAGGGTGCTGGTGAAATTATAGGCACATGGGACTGTGGCAGTGCCCCTCAGATCTTTGTGAAGCTCCGAATGGTACTGCAATTGTTAGGAACAGGCGTGTCGCTTACCACCAGGCACACGACTTGTTCGTCCCGTCACGTTGGTACTAAATAAAAAAGCTTGGTTCACGTAGCCGGGGCAACTTTTCATACTTCGGTTCACACCATGAACTAAGCTAACCGAGCTAATTAAACAAAGGCTCAACTCACACTGGCGCTAAGTCGAACCTTCGCGACGCGTCATGTATTTCGCCTATAGCATATTCATCTCTATTTTTCCATTATTAAGGTACAAATTTGTGTTATGCAAATATGGAGTCTAGAGACGACACACGTCGCCAGGCGGTGTAGTTGAAAAACAGGACGCGACGCAACGTTTCGCCTGCGCCAGTGTGAGTTGAGCCTAACCCAACGATCCCGCTAGCTATGTAAAATATCGTCTTGGATAGTGCAAATCCGCGTATGTAGTATTGGTAATAGGCGCGTAACTGCAATATACCAAATTTTACACGAAAGAGATTTAACGTTATTATTTTGTTATTTAAATAGCTTCGACTGTAATTTTTGCACAGTAAGCGTAAAGTCTAAGCGTAAGTAAGTGGACGACGGGTCTAATACAAAAACCACGAAAAAAATGTCCCAAGTCACCCTATTTTTTTAAACGTAATGACATGTAAAGGAATATGAAAAAGCTAAAACGTTGAATTTAAATTGTAATGTCATCGCAGTACTGTCTAATTTTGCTTGTTTCGCTGTCAGTCGAACAAACGAAGACTAAAGCGTGAATGACGGTCTGTATACGATTTTAACGCCCTATAAGTTCGGACATTTTATAGCGCGGACCCGACGTCCATATATTTGTACGTCAATGACAGTAAGCATTAATTTATATTATCTACAGACTGATAACAATAGATCCCCGTAAAACACACTTCATTTGAGTGCCACGACATTTACGCGTATTTGATTTGGCCACTAAATTCCCGAAATGGAAACTCATAACCCAATGCTAGTTACGCTTAATTGCACTATCTCCGACGATATGTCGCCTTTCTGCCGCCCTGCACGTATCCATAGTAGCACTTCATTACTTGCTATGTATTTTCTTAGCTTAGCTTTGCATTCAACTGTGTGACTTAAGCTAAGTTAGCTAGGTTCGTTCGCGGTGTGGCCTGCGTTTGAGACACAGTGAGAAATACTCCGTAATGCGAGGTCGGTCTCAGTGCATTGCAATTTATACCTTTTCCCAATTGACGTAGCATAAAATATACATTGATAAATTGAATGTCCTCTGCCGGGGTTACGTTGGCTATTTTTCACGTCGTCACCTAATATCTTAAAAAAAAGGAATTTAAATCTAGATCTGTGCCTGTAGCATGGCAGTATGTAACGTAGCATATGTGGGATAAACCTGCCCGTAACAGTATTAATTTCAGTTGATAAAGTTTGATTATTTGGTAATTAACTATTGTTATACATTTCGAAGAACAAGGATGACGATGTGAAATAACATGTATCTTTGTCGTTTAATCAAAGCCGCGAAAACGATAAACCAAAATATGACGGGTTTTTGTGGTTGCTATTTTTACATATTTTATATTATATTAGTTCTTTTTTTTCTTTTCTAATTACTCTCATGTATTTAACTGTATATTCTTCTCGCCTTTTTCCAATAATTTATTATTTCCAATATATATAGGAATAATAAAAACAAACGAATTGAGTTGCGGCCCTGGCGAGGACATAAAAATGTCACATCGCGGTGCTCGCCACGTTAGCTATTATGATGATTGTGATAAAATTTTAAAATACTGTTTATCACTCGTATTTGCGAGCTAAATGTGGACATAATAGCTTTATCGAGGCGGCATACTACGGGGGCTGTCTGTCTTATTTTAACCTAGTCTCAAATTACACGCGATATCAGTAACTTAACTTTGAATTAACATGTAATGACGTTATTGTGACGTCGTAAGTTATAAATAAATCCACTCCCCTACCTGAATACTTGCTATTATCACCGCGATAACAGTATCTAAACCATAAACAACCACGTACACTTATTAATGTTATTATAACTCCCATAGAGCTTCGTCTAACACCGCCGCGTAGTGAGCGAGTAAGCGAGTCGAGTGAGCTATTAATTTACATACTAATTCATCTTGTAATTAAGTACGCCGCAAATTGCTATCTCAGCCCTTCATAATCCTTTCGCTTTCGTACTTGCACTGGTCCGTCGTAAGGTTTGTGTGGACATGCCTGTTAAATATATGTTTTACTGCCACAGGTCAATGGCCACGATATATTTTTTTGTGAAATTAATCCATTAGTTTTTCATTATTATTGATACAAAATTCGAATACAAACAAAAATTCTTTAACCTGACTGGAATCGTGCCAGTGACTATTGGCTACGCTTTTAGCTCATATTTGTTCGAGTTTTGACGATCGACACATGTTGATCTACAAGAAATACGATATCGATCGCCTGCTTGTTAAACATTTATTCTATTTTGTCTGATCACAATATATTATTCCATAAAAAATACGCTGTCGATCGTTTGTTGCTTACAAATTTAGTCGTTTTGTTTGATCACACGCGTCCAAAAAGTCCAGTCAGATCAACGGAATTTTTCTTTGTGTTCGATCTTTCTACAAATAATAAAGTGAATCAAAGTTTTCTCATTAATTTAGCGCAACTCTGTCACTCAAACTGTTTCTTTGTTGTCTGACAAGTGAAGGTTATAAATGAATTTCAGCAGAGTGTATATGTGGTTTTCTATGTTCACCCCGTGCATAGTACCAGGCGAAATTGGAACTCCAGGCGTGTCTTTTATTTAGTAGTAATCATTTCGCACCCTTGGTTATAATAAGTATAGTATATTATAACCAAGGGTGTGGAATGTTTCCTACTATATAAATATAAATATAAAGTATGGCCATACCTACCTGCAAAATGACAACTTTTCAGGAGAGAGATTTGAAGATAGTACGAACAAAATTAGTCGGAAAATTTTATGCATAATATAGAAGAGATATAAAATTTTTTATTGAAAATTTTTTTTTTATTTTAAATACATATATATTTTATATGTAGTTTATATTATTTTTTGCCTTCATGTCATAATAGTACTTTTGGCTTATTGTCACATGTGGCTTTATTACACCAAGGGTACAATTTGTATTGAGTTTTTAGTTTCTGACTGGTAATTAAAAGGGAAGTTATCTGACTTCTCATACTGGATATATTGTTACAAGCTAAAAAGTTGATAGACAAAAACTGTGTTTGCAAATACATTTTGTTTATACTTTAAGGAATATCCATTTTATGCATTTCGCACCACTGTGCTTGGTGCCGACACGTCGCCAACAGACACGGATTAGGGTTATCTGCATCACAAAGCCGGCCCAGTGCCAGGCGTCGTCGGTTGGTTGGAACCTAAAGCCACCTACTTTGCGGAAAGGTGCAACTGCTGTTCACACCTTGGGTGGTGTTTTGTTGTTTGTGTTGATTGAAACAACTTACACTACATTGTTCCAAGTCACATGATTTAACAGAAAATGGACGAAATCCAATAAACCAGATTCACCCACCATTGAGGGTGGAATATTTTCATCAAATTTTAATGATACCACTACAGAGGTACCCCCGTTCCACCAAAAACGTCAACTAAATTGATTCACAAAATGGCGGAGTAATGGCAAAGACATACAAAAAAACACAGTCGAATTGAGAAACTCGTCCTTTTTTTTTCAAGTCGGTTGAAAATAGCGTTTCATTAGAACAGTATGAATACTTTATTTCATTATAATATCTACACATTTTGTTATGTCTAGCACACTAAAATGCACCCAGATGCCCTTTTGTACCAGGAAATAACAAAATTAACGAAGTCCAACAAACAAAATCCTTTTATTTCTCAAAAGTCAGTGTATTTGTTAGCGTACACAACGAAGTTGTAAACCCAATTAATGTTTCCCAGATTGATTATTCTGCAGAGCCTGGGCTTGGCTAGCCAGATCGGCGAAACCTCTCATGGTTTTTATGGTGCAAGGGTCATTGAAAAACTTGAAAGAATTGTATGCCAGCTGAGCCTGTCCTACTCCAGGAAAGTTCTGAGCTCCACCGGGGATCGGCAAACCGCCAGTTGCTGATGAAGAGGACGACGAGGACGAACTTGCAAAGCCAGGGAGTCCTCCGAGACCGCCAGCAGTGGCAGAACTGGATCCGGAACTTGAAGATCCTCCTGATTAAGGTTTGTGGAATGTACTTGTGTTGACTACCTTGGTGGCCCGACTCGAACCGAGGTCACGGGTTCGATTCCCAGTAGGACCAAATTGGGAGCGGAACTTTTCTACATTGGTTCTGGTCTGGGTATTCAGGGGAGTGCCCCAAAGTGAATTGCGGTGCTCTAGTACTCATAGTACAGGGAATTCCCTAGTTTAAACCAGGCAATTGGTGTAGTTGTCTGGCACATTGTTATTAGTTAGTATGCAATACTGGCATGTTTATAGTGTACAATGGCCAAAATACCCGAGTACGTACTTCCTCGTTAACAACAAAAAAATATATAGGTACTCACCAAATCCAGGAATACTAGGGAATCCGGAGCTGGAGCCAGGACCAGATTCGGCGGACCGGCCACGCCCAGGAATGCCATACTGGCCGCCGGAGCCCGTCATGCTGGATATTTGACTCATGCCAGGGATCCCGAACACACCGCCTTCTTTCTTGTCTTTCTCACCTGCCTCACTTTGGCCCTTGAAGAATAAATTCAAATGAAATAATGTAAATTTTCGGTCAATTACAAAATACATGTTCTTAGAGGCTTATCGCGTCAAAACTATACATGAATTGAACCTAAAGAAATAACATTTAGGGTGTTAATAGTTTCCAAATTTTGGCAGAAATCTTTCAAGACTGTTCCGTCACGTTAAAAAGGAAAATAGCCCGAAATAACATCATTTTAGTCTAGAGCAATTGGAACGATCTACCGCCTCCTATTCGCAACGCAGTTTCTGCATCGGGCTTCCGTAGAAAAATTAAGGAAATACCATTGATAAACAACGACAGCTTCCATCTAATTTAAAATTATTCTATCATATATATTACTTATTACAATTATTTCTCAGGCATTATTATTGTGAATATTTTTTATTTTTTGTACTGTAATGTATAGCTTTATTAAAAGCACAATGCACATTTATAGAATAATTGTGGATTACAATTACATTCTTGTTTTTGATTAGTTTTATCACCTTGTCTTGTAATTTTATTTTACTTTACTCTTGGTTTTAAATACTTAACATTTGTATGTTAAGTATTTGAAATCGTCTACCTCCTCTTAGGCTCCAGCTGAAAACCGGCGCTGAGGCTCTGCCTAGCTTTAAAGCTAATCTTTTCGGCTAATATTGTAAACTTTAGTGTTTGATCTATTACTTATCTTCTTGTTTTGTTTTTAAACATAATAACTAAAACAAGTTACTTATTATGTTCTAATATTATTTGAGAATAGTCGAATAAATGTTTCTTTCTTTTTTTCTAAAGGTTTCTCTAAAAATAGAAAGCTTTGCCATGCTTCAAAGAAATCCTGTAGATTGCCGTAAAGCTGCAATTAATTTTACCTATGATCTTCACGGTAAGGAATGAGATTGTGTTAAGGTCTATAATCTACCCCTTACTTACTCGAATCACAATTGGAACCGGACCGAACTCCAGCATCGCGGCATTTAATAACATTTTTTTTAATGATACCATGTGACGGTGCGGACCGATCGTGCAACTGGTGCACTACGACCGCGCCCGTCATCCTGAGTTGACGAGTCCCATGTGCCTGTAATTTTACCAGCGCCCTGAACGCAATAATGCTCGCATTACTGCTTCGCGGTAAAATAGGTAAAGTGGCAGTACTTCCCTGGACGAACTTTTCAACAAGGAGTTCTACTGCTAACTTCAATGCTGCTGCTCCATAAACTCGTTACACTACAGCCTCGTAATCGTGCAATCCAACAGTAGGGCCAATTTTGATTGGTAAAGAAAGCCCGTTTGTAAGCAAGCTTCAGCATCGAGCATGCTCATGACATCATCATTATCCACAGCCGGACTTCACCTGCTGCTGGAAATAAGCAGTTTGTGCCGCTAACCATTATACGTACACTTCTCGCCCTTTTCCCATCGGTTTAGGCAGACCACGGAAGAAGAAAAAAACAATGGAAGCGCCTTAAACCCCGATAACTACCAGAACCGATGTCGCCAAAACTCACACATTCTCAATCTGAAATACCACAAAATCTTGGTCGTAGTTTCAAATTTAAAAAGAAATAACAAATTCTGTATTGTTAATACAATTTAAACTTTACCCGGTTGGCATATCGTTGAAAGTTCAATACCGTCAATACCTATTATTGCAAGTTACGACGTTTTGATATTATATTGAAATTTCCATCAATGTGCTGCCATCTACCGGTTAGTTGCTGAACGACGACGAATTGGAGTTATCAATTTAGTCCTTTAAAAAGATGCCACCATGTCTGCCGTCCACTAACTAAAATGCGGCTAAATGACAAATAGTCAAATATCCATTTTAAATAGCAAAGGATAGAGCACTAAATTAAAACAGTTAGAATAACGTGTTCGACTTATCGGAACTTACCCTAACGATGCATAGCTGAAATATCACTAAACAATTTCAATATTCTAAAACTGGGTTTCGTTTATGATATCTCAAAGAAATATTTTGGCGCTTAGCAGCTTTTTAGTTAGTGGATGGCAAACATTGCAGGGGTATAAGCTTTAATTGCGATTCTTGTAACAAAAAAATATTTCGATAAACAGAAAATTGAAAATTTATTAAAATAAGACTTTCCGATGATATGAAATACCACCATGGGTAATGAAAAGTTGTGATTTTGCAGATATGGTCTTATTACACCAAAGATACGGTTGCAGTTTGAACTTTAATTTCCAAGGTACGAACTTTTGTGAATGTTTCGTAAGAACGGTGAACGAAAATATCGTGATGAAATCTGCATGTCGAAGAAGATTTACAAGTCCCCTTCCCGCATTGAGTCAGCGTGGTGGATTATGGTCTACACTGAGACTCTAAGGAGAGTTTACGAGACACCTGTTCATATTTATTTATTGCAATTCATATGTATAGTACAGGTTAATAAGCTTAATAGGTACATACATGTGATACCTTGTAAGGCCGTAGCAAATTAAACTAATTACATAAGAACATTTCAAACTAAAACATAATCAATTGACATAAACATTGCATTATTATTTGTATAATATATATATATAAGCACCTTCTATACATGAGAATATCTGAAATAGATTGGATGCCCCTTTATCAAATAAGATAGATGAAGCTGTCGACTACTTGTACTCAGCTATTAGCAATATAGTGGAGGAAGTTGTTCCATTTAAGAAACCTAGTAAGCCTACTAACTATCCGGTATGGTTTTCTGCTGAAACTATATATTTAAACAAACTCAAAAATAAATATCACAAAATGTACAAAGAAACAAACTATCAACTCTATTATGGTTTCTTCTACTACTATAGGAAAATGGTTCTGAGAGGATCAAAATGTGATTTGATTAAATATTATAAAATGGTTCAGGGTGATATCAAGCGAAATTCTTCGTTATTCTGGGCGTTTGTGAAGAAGCACAAAATGTCATGTCAGCCAGCTACATTTGGTACCACGGGCCCACAGGAGATAGTTGACTCATTTGCTCAATTTTTTCAAAGTGTCTTCCTCCCTACTCTACCAAATCTCTGTGTCGAAAATGCTTGTGATAGTGTTGCTACTTTTCCACATCTTGCCACTTTCCAAAGACATATTAGTGTTGATGAAATTAACGAGATTGACGTGCGCAAAGCTATCAAATGCCTAGCGCCTAAATACACACAGGGCCCTGACGGGATCCCTCAGTTTGTGGTCAAAGATTGCTGCGAAGTATTTGTTAAACCACTTTGTTAATTATATAACCTACCAATTGGAACAAACTTGTACCCACGACGTTGGAAATTATCTAAAGTTATACCTGTACACAAGAGTGGGGCGAAGGGTGATATAAGAAATTACCGGCCTATTGCTATTATCTCAGTATTTGCAAAAATATTCGAAACGGTGCTCTACTCGACCATAGCATTACAGCTGCGTGGATGGTTTTGTGACGAACAACACGGTTTTTTGCCGCAGCGCTCAACTACGTCCAATCTTCTGAATGTAACTACTTTAATTGTGTCAAAAATGGATCAGAATACTCAGGTTGATGTTGCCTATTTCGACTTCCGAAAAGCTTTTGATCGGGTCAACAATGACCAATTACTTATAAAAATGGGTGTTGCGGGATTTACTACTCAGTTAATGAAATTCTTTTGTGCGTATTTTCAAGATAGAAAGCAGTACGTAGAATAGGAAAACTTTAAATCTTCCCCTTATATAGTTGCTTCTGGTATAGGGCAAGGTAGCAGTCTCGGCCCTCTCCTTTTTTACTGCTTGTAAATGACTTTCCTACATCTGTAAAATCTTCTGTCTGCCTTATGTTTGCTGACGATGTCAAACTCGCTTTGCCGGTGAAGTGCACCGCGGACTTTGATCTACTCCAAGTTGATATTAACAGCATTTTCGCTTGGAGCCGGGACAACAGCTTGGAGATGAATGTTGAAAAGTGTTCAGTGATGTCTTATTCCCGGAGAGATCCAATCCTCAATGAGTACAGCCTCGGTGGCACGACCTTGAACCGTGTGAAGTCTGTTCGTGATTTGGGAGTAAGATTCGATTCTGAGCTCAAATTTAACAATCATATTATCGATATATGTAATAGTGCTTGGAAAAGTCTTGGCTTCATCAAGCGGCAATCTAAGTTTTTTGACCATCGACAGGCAATTTGTAATTTATGTATAACGCCTTTGTTCGAAGTAAATTGGAAGCTACGTGCGCAGTATGGAATCCCCACAATAAACTCTATATAGCAAATGTTAGAACGAATCCAGAAATCATTTTTGAGGTATTTGTATAGTAAACTTTATGGGTACTATCTTATATGTACCCTACACCCTTTATTTTGGGCATGGTATCGTACAGATCGCTTGAGATCAGGCGAAAACTGGCGCTACTAAAATATATTTTTAACCTAATAAGAGGATGTATAATTAACCCTCCCCTCTTGGCTCAAGTTCCTTTTTTTATCCCGCCAATCTCACGCTACGTCTTTCGTCAGCGCAAATACCCTCTATTCAACTTCCATTTAACCCGCACAGTGACACTAATAAGGACACCATTCTTCGAAGCATTGGCCGTAATTGAATCGTTAAGCAAAACAAATGATATTGTCGCATTTAGCAACACTGAATCAAAATTTCTAACATCCGCTGGTTACTATTAAGAGGCGGTCACAAGCTCTGTGGTCCAAATTCTGCATCCTATCTTTGGCCGGTGATCGACTCAACCTTTTTTTTTGTGACTATGACTTACATGTTTAGTTATAAGTACTATAAGTGTAAGTTGTACAAACTAAATAAATAAATAAATAAATAAATAAATTATTATTATACATGTATTATATGTATATTTTATAGATATATTTATGTCTTATTATATTCTTTATTAAATAGTTTGTAATTAATAGTAAAGACAAATAATTATTAAAATCATTACTAAATTATTCAAGCACTTTTATCATCAAAAAGTTCAGACAAATTTATAATAAATTTTTAATGAAAAAATATTTTTCATTGTTCAAGAGTGGGATGTATAATCAGTGACAATGATGATGATGGACGAAATCTTGAAGCGTTTTTTGCACGCTAGTGTGGAATTTTTTTTTAATTCGAACTTGACGATGGTCTGTGGTGCACCTTACTTTTTCTTTCGATGAAAAAGAAGATAATGACATGATACGCGATTTGTCGTACATTACTTGTCTATGTAATATAAATCCGTTGGTATCTATATTTTATTCTTATTATTGTTGACATTAAATTGACAATGATAACTAATTGTGTTTGTTAAATTATTTTAATACGTCGAAGCAGTAAAATAATTTCAACAATCACTTAATCACACAAAATTATAGAAATACAAGCAAGAATAAAAATAGATGATCCGCCATTTTCCTCGCTATAGTGAGGTGAAAAGTTGTGTGTTTCGCTTGGCAGCAAAGCTGTTTTGCGTCTCGTGGCTTGAAACCTTCGCTACGCTCAGGAATCTAAGCTTCCTTCGGTTGCTCAGGTTTCAATACAAGCACTCGCGTGAAACAGCAACTTTGCAGCCTTGCATAACAAATAACTATTCGTCATTCGTAGTTCATGAACTATATAAGCCTAGCGAACAATGGCCTAAAACCCTCGCCCGAGAAGGACGTATAAATGGGATGATGATTATGACATACTGACTATTACTTCTAAGTAAATAAACGATTCACTTACCACGAAAGCCACGAAGCAAGCAAAAGCTAACACCTTGTACATCTTTGACTTTAAAAACAAAATGTAACTGAACGACCAAGCAACAGAATGCAGTATAATACGTATTAGTTAAATATAAACTCTTTATATACTAAACCTGTATACATTATCATTGAACAGTAAATTTCGATAGTTAATACCGTAAACTTGTAGGTAATCTTTAGTTAATAGAACCGATTCGGTTAGTTAATTTTAACTTTTTGATATGTAGATTAAGTCATTAGGACAATTAATAGGCAACGTAGTTGCTATGTAGGTACACTCGGCGACATATCAAGCTTTATGAATTGTTCTTTTCGTAAAGTGTAAACGTTATGTAATAGTACATTATTGCAGAAGCCGGTAAGTAAAGGATTGCTGGACGAGTATACGTATACGAGTCAAGCAATCCCCGTTTCCGCCGAGGCAAGTATAGAATTTTTCTCAAACAATGTGAGGAAATAATAAAAAACTAAAGAGAGGAATAATATCGCTCTTCTCACTAGCACTCATTTTCGCGACCAAAATACAAAAAAGACGAAAAATAAAAGAATACTAAAACAGTTTAGGTTATTTTTTTTTTGTAGGCATAA